CACGGCCAGTATGCTTTTTCCCCTGTGGGTTTACATGGCGCTTCCCTTGCTGACCCCTGGTTCCTCGAAGCCAAGCCTGCTTCTCAGTCGCCCTCGGTCACTTGGCTCCCAGACACGGCCGGGCGCCCAGCAGGCCCTCGGGGCTGTGCTGAGGTCAAGTCGCGGTGAGGCTGCGTCCTCGTGGGGCGGGCGTGCGGAGAGACGGTAGCCTCCCTGCAGGTTCTCCGTAGGCCCTTGGGCTGCGTTCAAGTGCTCCCCCTCTGGGGCGCGTCTGGGACCTCGGCTCTGCAGGACTGGCGGTCAGAGGCGCCCCGGGGGCAGGTGGCATGAGCCCCCTCTCTGCGCTGCGGGCCCCCGGCGCTGCAGGGGCGGCCTCTCCGCACTGTGTCAGGCCCAGGACGCTGTCCCCAGGGTCCTTGTGTCGGGAGGTGAGTTTTAGCTGAAACGTTCACGCACAGATTACCTTCATGCCGCGTTCCGTGCGCATCCGCAGGCTCGGGGAAGTCGCCGTGCCTCCCTGGGCGCTGCGGTCAGGGAGGAAGCGTCCCTGAGGCCTGGCTGCAGCCTCACCGGGGCGTCCGGGCCTCCTGCCGCCCTTACCTCTGCCTCACGTGCCCGGCTCTTCAAGCCTCGTGTTTTATTTCCACAGCTTTCGCGTCCCCTCGAGCGGCGACCCCCGAGTCCACTAGGGTGTATTCTTCTGCTACGAATACACATTTTTATTTCCTTCAGTAAATGCATTAATTCTTCATTTTTATAAGCATTAAATTTCCTCTTTCAAAATAAAATTCATTTCGAAAATTACCTGAGGCGTTTTTGAAAAGCAGCTTCAAACTCTTTATTCCTCTCCCAAGAGTCATGCGTGCACAGACGTGCACACGCACACAGCGCGACAGCCACGGGAAGTCTGTTTTCAAACCCTGCCCAGCGAGCTGTTTTTGTGCCTAAACAATTAGATTACAGTCTTGTCTGGCAGGTCCCCAATGCCAGCCTTGGAGAACGTTCGCAATACAATAACAACATAACTGCGATTCCCTGTGGGCGACACACGTGTTCCGGGGGCTGGGCTTTACGGAGGTCTGCGTGACGTGTTGTCACGTGGCAGGTCTCCGCCCTGCCCCCTCACCGTGGTGTCACTGGAAGGCTTCCTTTAGTGCCTCGCTTTGGGCGAAGAGCTAGCGTTCGGGTCTGTGCGCGCTTTACCAGGCTGTCTGGCTTCAGGCCGGGGCGCTGTCGGGAGAGTTGGGGCCCGGCCCTGTGAGGAAGCTCGGGACTGACACCAGGTGCTGGGACCCAGAAGCGTGGCCCTGTCACACGGTGGTGGCACCCGGGAGACCCGCTGCCCCCAGGGGCCACAGTTAATGGGGAGCCACCGTCTGAGACCCTCCTGGCCTCCAGAGACTGGGGGGCTTTTTAAAGGAAGGCCTGTTGAGCGGGGGGTAGGTGGGGGCCCGAGAATGACCTCCCCTCGCCCTGCCACCGGTGGCCGCCCAGGGTGTATTTTTAAGTTGCAAGTCCGAGGACAGCACTCCTGGTCTTTTTTGGAGAAGGAGGGATGGCTGTGTCTCAAAGAGCAGTTGTTGCCAGCAGCCAAGAGGGACGGTCACAGAGGTCTGTTGATTCGGCCGCGGAACGCAGCCTGTGGCGGAGAACCGCGTTCCCGACCGTGTCTCTCAGGGTTTGCGGGAGCTCCCCCCAGGGACCGTGGGCGACCAAGTTTTGTTGCTGCTGTGACTTCCGGGCGATCACGGCGTCTGGGGCTGGCGCAGCTCCTACCGTTGGAGTGTTTTCCCATTTCCGCGTTTACGTACTTTCCCCTCCAGGGTGTCCTCCAGTCGGGGAAGTCCTGCGCCGCGCCGCGCTCCTGGCCATGGGGCCCGGGGCTCAGGTCTGGGAGCGGGTTGGGGGGGGCGGCCTGCCAGCCTCATGCCCTCCCTCCAGGGTGTCCCCGTAAACGAGGGCCTGCTGGCCTGGGCACGGCCCCGAGCGGGGTTTGAGGACGCTGGAGAGGAAGCGGAAGCTGTATTCTCTGGTCTGCGTTCTCTGTCTAGGCTCAGCTGGGGCCGGGGTGACTTTCTTGGGGAGCCAGCGGGGCAGCGCAAAGCCTTTTCAAACATGCAGGAGGTGCTGAGCCCCCGGATAGAAGCGGACGGTGGCCACATCGCGCGCTGTGGGACCATTGGCCCGGATGCTGGGGACGCCAGGGACGCCTGCGGTGCCCGGCGGTGCTCCCTTCTGACCTGCCCCCTCGCCCCGGCTTCGGCCCCGTGGGGCAGGGCGCTGCCTGGTCCCAGACGGGACGGCCTGGCGGGCAGGTGCCGGGCTGTTGGTGTATAGCTCCGTCTGCACTGGGGCGGGGTCTGCGAGGGGCTCAGAGGAGGTGCTGCAGGGGGCTTTGGTGACACACGGCTGCCTCGACTCATGGCACCCTCTCAGCACCTGACACATGTGGAGGCACCTTTGGGGTGTGAGGGACACCCCCTGAGAGCCACATGGCCTCTCGGTGCTGGCTGGGACCCGTCACACCCGGACGGCGCAGAGGCGGCGTCTGCAGGCTCACCGGAGGTGCCGCCCGGCTCCGACCGGTCCCCGAGTGGCCGAACGCCCGGCTCTCCATTTCACAGCCGCCATGAACCGACAGGGAGGTTGGGCGGAGCCTAACATGATCTCAGCGTTGCCAGTTTCCGTGTTTCTGCTGGTTTTTCCTTCTCTAAACTCATTTCTGTACGTTCCTTGAACTCCGAGGACTTTTATACCCAGATGAGGTCACTAAGTTAAATATAAACAGTGTGTTTCACTCATACTTTTGTATATTACATCAGAGTCAATATTTTGGGGGTGAAACGGGCCCTGGGATAGAAGGGGATACGTGCAAGTCATCTGCCTTATCAAATCATCGCAAATGGTACACAGCCACCCACAACTGGTGCCAAGACCAAAACTGCTTGGAAAAACAGATTAGCTCCAAATGTCGTTAAGAAGCGTCCCAGTTGGCCTCATTTGCTTACCCCATTTTAGGGGGAGTGTTTGTTGACTCACAGGGCGGAGCCGCTGACCCGGACCCCTGGCCCAGCAGGCGGGCCGAGCGCACCCGCCGCTGGACGGTTGACCACGGAGCCCCGCCCCTTCCCGGACTTGCTGCTCAGGCTGCCTCGGTTCCTTTCGTGCCTGGGCACCTTGCGGGCGTGGAGCTTTCTTGAAAGATGCTTTAGAAAACTAGTTCCAGCCGAGGTTTCTGCCCGTGTGCGGGTCTGGGAGGCGGCGTGCACGGCCTCGGGGCGTGGAGAGGCGGAGCTGTGCCCGGAGTCCCCCGATCCTGCCACCGGCGTTCCCTCCGTGCCTGCCCTCCTGGCAGGGGGCGGGACGGGAGTCTCGGCCCAGGCTCCCTCGGGAGCCACCTTGCATCACCCGACTCGCAGGTGCCTCTGAGCACCATCTGCCTCCTCAGCGCCAGGCGCACGTGGGCCGCCCACGTTTGGTCCGTCTCTAAACGCAAGGCCTGAGTGTGCGTATGGTGGTGAGTTTGTAAAAACATGGCATCCTTCCTACACGTTACAGCTTTTTAGAGAAAACCTGCCTGCCTGGGCGCCTCTCCGTGTAAGCGTGGACCCCTCTGGGGAACCCCAAGAAGCCACTCTGAGACCTCTGTTTACAGAGGAGGACAAACAGCTGTGTCCCGGGGGGCGTGGGGGCCCTCGCTCCCTGCCCCGAGAGACACCGTCTCGCTCACGCGTGTTCTGACCGGCTCATGGTTGGTTTACATTCTCCGGGTCACAAGTCAGATGGAAATCCCTGTTTTCACTGCACATGGTAGTTTTTCGGTGCTACTGTCTCGGGCCCGTTGAGGGTGACAGGCGTTTGGTGGGCTCCCCACGGGGTAGAGGCGGGCCCGCGGCCGGCGGGTGCAGCCCTGGGCGCCCCTCGCCGGTGTCTCCCAGGCCCGCGCCCGGGGTGCTGGGTGCACCCAGGTGCCTGGGGGAGCGGCTCAGACCAGAGGTGACACGGTGGGACACGCGCGGTCGCCGGGGAGGGGAGCCCGGCCTCGCCGGGAGGGCGCTGGGGGATCTGACCTGGGCAGGAGCTGGGAGGCCGCCCGCGTCCTGGGTCCGCAGGGCTTTGTGCACTGGGGACTCAGCCTTGCAGCCAGGGTTTCGGTTGCCCGCTGGGGACTCGGCGGAAGCAGGGCGCAGGAGCAATGGGACAGGACCGGGACCGGGCGGCGTTGTGAGGCAGAGGCCAGAGCTTGGGCTGTATCCAGCAGGGGCGGGGCCCGGGCCGGCTCCCCAGACGGCCTGGTGGCCACGCACCCCCAGGGTGGTGTCGGAGGAGCCGCCGGCCCTGGGGCAGCGGGTTCTGGGCACAGGTCCTGAGGCAGCGGAGGGTTCCCTTCTGCACCTCGTTGCCTCCCCTTAACTAGGCCATGCACATCCCTCACGGAGGGCTGGTCCCCTTGCCCTCTGCTCGCTGTGTGAGTGCCACTCACGCCTGCCCGCCTGCCACTCAGTTGCCCGCAGCGGGAGCCCTGCCCCCATTTTTGCCCCCATCGGACGCCCCTCCCCTGCCCCTCATTCCCACGCCCTCCCCCTCAGGCCCCCGTGTCTCACGCCAGCCACTCTCGCCCGTCCTTCCTTGGAGATTTTACATCCTTGTGATGAAAGTGTGTTAGTGCAGAAGCATTTACATGGGTTTATTTTAATTCAGCATGATCATTATGAAAGATTAATTGCTTGGGTATTGATCTTTGAAAGGGTATTTTTGTACGTCGCTGGGTTTTTGCCGGTGCCTCGTTTCTTTAATTAGCGCCGGGGCGGGCCGCGGGTGGTGGGTGTCCCCAGCACGCCTCCCCCTAAGCTTCCTCCTGTGCTTTCTGTTGCAGGTGCCCGCCGCCCTGCGCCATGCTCCGCAGGTAGGACATGCTCGTGGCAGCGGCAGGCGCGTCTCCGCAGCGGGGCGGCAGGAGGCCCCTCTGAGCATGGAGAGATAAGGCCCCGGCCGGCCGGCCTGCCTGACCCACAGCCGCGCCCGCCCCGGCTGGGCGAGCCCGCGTCCCGAGATGGAGCGCAGCCGGGAAGCCGAGATGGAGCTGCGGAGGGGCCCCGAGGGGGGCGGCGACAAGGCCGTGAGCCACAGCTGTTGCATCTGCGGCAAAAGCTTCCCCTTCCAGAGCTCCCTGTCGCAGCACATGCGCAAGCACACGGGCGAGAAGCCCTACAAGTGCCCCTACTGCGACCACAGGGCTTCCCAGAAGGGCAACCTCAAGATCCACATCCGCAGCCACCGCACGGGGACGCTGATCCAAGGCCACGAGCCCGAGGCCGGCGAGGCGCGCGTGTCCGAGGGCCTGGACGGCTGTACCAGCCCCACCAAGAGCACCTCGGCCTGCAACAGGATCCTGAATGGCGCCAGCCAGCTGGACGGCAGCAAGATCCTGCTGCGGAGCAGCCGGAAGGATGCCGAGGGGGCCCCGTGCGCCGCGGAGGACGGCCGCGCCCCCGCGCAGTGCTCCTTCTGCAAAAGCAAGTTCGGGCGCAAGAAGGAGCTGCAGCGGCACGTGCATCGGGCGCATAAGCCCTTCAAGTGCCGGCTGTGCAGCTACGTGACGCTCCGCGAGGAGTCGCTGCTGAGCCACATTGAGAAGGACCATATCACGGCGCAGGTGCCCCGCGGTGAGGCCTGCGTGGAGAACGGCAAACCGGAACTCCCGCCGGGGGAGTTCCCGTGCGAGGTGTGCGGCCAGGCCTTCAGCCAGACCTGGTTCCTGAAGGCGCACATGAAGAAGCACAGGGGCTCCTTCGACCACGGCTGCCACATCTGCGGCCGAAGATTCAAAGAGCCGTGGTTCCTGAAAAACCACATGAAGGCGCACGGCCCCAGGGCAGCGAGCAAGAACAGGCCCCGGAGCGAGCTGGACCCCATCGCCACCATCAACAACGTGGTGCAGGAGGAGGCGATCGTGGCCGGCCTGGCCCTCTACGAAGTCTGCACCAAGTGCGGGAACCTGTTTACAAACCTGGACAGCTTGAACGCCCACAACGCCGTCCACCGCCGGGTGGAGGCGGGCCGGACGCGGGCCCTGGCCGGTGAGGGTGCGCTCGGCCCCGTGGACTCCCAGCAGCTCTTCCTCCAGTGCCTGAACCTGCGCCCCGCTGGGACTGAGGCGCCCGCCCACGCACAGGCCGGGCGGCGGGTGGCCGAGCTGGACCCGGTCAACAGCTACCAGGCCTGGCAGCTGGCCACCAGGGGCAAGGTGGTAGAGCCGGCCGAGTACCTCAAGTACGGGGCGTGGGACGAGGCGCTGGCCGGGGACGTGGCCTTTGACAAGGAGCGGCGCGAGTATGTCCTGGTAAGCCAGGAGAAGCGGAAGCGCGAGCTGGAGCCGGGCGCGCAGGGCCCCCCGCGCAAGAGGACGGGAGCACCTGGGGACTTGGTGCCCGGACCCCTGGACCCCCGCTCCGCCGCTGCGCGCCCCAGCCGCCGCGCTGCCACCCCGGCGGGCCACGGCAAGTCCTCCGAGTGTTTCGAGTGCGGCAAGATCTTCCGCACCTACCACCAGATGGTGCTGCACTCCCGGGTGCACCGCCGCGCGCGCCGCGACCAGGACGGCCCCGGGGATCGTGCGCCCCGAGCCCGCTCTGGCTCCTTCAGTGAGGGCGACTCAGCCTCGCAGCCCAGCAGCCCCGGCTCGGCCTGCGGCGCTGCCACCGACTCTCCAGGCTCTGGCCTAGCCGAGGAGGCCGCGGACGAGAGCGGAGAGGAAGGCGTGGCCGACCCTGTACCAGGTGAGTGTGTGCGCCTTTGCTTCCCGGTAGCTGGTGGTTGGCACCCAGGCGGCTTGTGCCCAGGTATCCCATGCCCGAGCAGTCTGGGCTCAGGCAGCCCTGCACCCTCTCAGGTGGCCTAGGCCCAGGTATTCCCAGCTGCGGTAACCCCGTCCCTAGGCGGCTCTGCACCAAGGTGGCCCCTTGCCCGGGTAGCCCTTGGCCGGATACCCCATGCCCAGGTGGCTCCATGCCCGGATCCCCCCGAGCCTGGGTGTGCCTGGCTCCGTGTTTTGTGTCGGATAGGCCTGGGCCCCCGCGGTCCCTCCCAGGATATTTCTGAGCCCAGGAGGCCTGGGCCTAGTGGCCCTGCACCCAGGTGGCTCCCAGGCCCAGCAGCCCCATAGCCGGATGGCTCAGTGTCCTGCACGACAGAACCCTTGCCTAGGTCATCCGGGCTCAGTAGGCCTGCGCTTGGGTGGCTCTGAACTCGGGCTGGCGGTGCAGACGCAGGTGCCTGTTGTTCCCCTTGAGGCTCCTTTCTGCTCCTTGCCCAGACGTGTTTGCGTAAATGAACACCTTTGACCCTCTGAGTCGATGGACCCTGCGGCGCCGGGCGTTTGATGGGTCACAGGTGAGGGACCACCCACGGGGCGTGCCCTGCCCTTTGTCGTCTGGGACTTAGCGCCTGACCCGCAGTGCGCATGCGCCCTGCGCTCCTCCGCACCTGCCTGCGCCCGCCCGGTTATAATTAGTCTCCGTGGACCCAGGACCCTGCGGGCTCAGGCAGCTCATCGGCGGGGATCGCTCTCCAAAGAGCCGCTCTGTAAACATTTCAGGGTGCTTGGCCAGCTTTGTTTTCATCGCTTTCCTACTTGGTGTACATTTTAAACGACTTGGTACTTTCTCCATTGTTTTGTGTTTGGGGGAAACCTTGCAAGTTACAGAACTTGAAGCTTCCGCCGTGTAGTCGGGAAGGGTTTTTTCCACCTTTTCTCTGAAAGCTGGGTAATGGATGTTGCTTTTTCCTGAAAGGCGGGGGGCGACGGGGACCCAGCCACTTTGGCAGGGCTGCTGCCGTTTCGCGGGGAGGAGAGCACCACGTGTAGCTGCGTTTCCACGGCGGGGAATGGGAATCCGCCCCACGTGGACCCGATGCGCTGCGCGTTGCTCAGTCCCGGAGGCGGGAGGGAACAGGAGAGTTCGTTGTCTACGAACATGCAGCGCTTTTCCCCCGAACTCTTCTTAGTTTATTTTATTTTTTACCAGTTTGTCATGCAAAACCCCGTCAGCCTAGATGCCACCCATGGGTGGCACTTTTAATTTTTGGTCTTCCCCTGCTTTACCTTTTGACAACTAGCGATTTCACTTGGTCACATTCCAGTAACACTGTGGCTCCTGAGTGGGGCGGGGATAACCCATTAGGTCGGTCCTAAGTCTCGTTTATTTTTCACTTTGGAGATGAACGTGTTTAAGACCTGGAAGAGCTCTTGGCCCCTCCCCCGCCGGGCGTGACGGTGGCCAGAAATGACCAGCCCTGAGCCAGCTCCGTAGGGCTTTTAAAGGCATGATGCTGAGGAGATCAGGCTATTTTCACTACTAAGTAGAAATTACTCTTTTTCTGAAGGTCACTAAGTTTTAAAGATTATCATTTGTTTCTTAATAAGATCATCTATAGGTTCTCTCTGTGTCACCTACTTAAAATGCTGAGTCGCTGACGCCCCTTCCGGGGTGGGGTGCGCGTTTGTGGATTTAAGGCTTAGCAAACTCGTCCCCGCAGCTGCCTTGGGAAAGGAGTGGGTGTTTCAGGTCCTCTCTCAGGCGCCTTTCCACACGTGCCTTCGCAAGTTCTGTCCAGGGCTGTGGCTGGGAGAGGGCTTCGATTTTTAAACATCGAAATGACCAAGTTCTCGAAGGATTTGGATGGCATGACTGGTTAAAACTGTCGGAGCGAACGCGTAGCCAGGGAGGGGCGGGAGGTCACAGCAGTCCTCGGGACAGCGTACCCGGCCAGTCAGCCGCAGGCTTGACCACGTGGTGCAGGGCTCTGTGACCTGCCCATCCATCTGCCCGGGCCCCGCTTCACCCAGGGGTTGTAGGGTGGTGGTATTTTTTTCGCCACCCAGGAACAGATGTGGATGTTGCTTCCGCATCTAGAGAGGGTTTGCCCCGTTAGAGCCTCGGGGAGACGTGGCGTGTTCTTCCCCTGGCGAGGGCTGGGGCCCACCCCTTCCGCGGGCGCGACCGTCCCGTCGCTGCTGTGTCCGCAGAGGATGGGCGCTGGCAGCTCTTGTCCCTGAGCGTTAACAAGAAGCGCGAAGCTGGGAATCAAGTTCAGTTGTTGAACACGCGCCACGGAGCTGGGTCTAAGTCCTCTGCTGAGGAAGCGGCCAGATCCGAGTCGAGAGTCCCCAACGGTTCGTTCTGCTGGTCAGGACACAGGGGCCCTAGGAGGGCCTGTCCCCGAGGTTTACAAAAGTCGGCATCTCCAAACCAGGAGCAGAGGCTGGGCACCGCGGACTCACCCCGGGACGGGGCGGTGGCTTCTGGCCCTGAGGCCCGGGCGGCATCTGCAGAGACCCCGGGGACGGCTTGGGGACGGCCGGAGGCCACCGATGCACCGAGAAGGACCCGCCTCTTGTGGTGCCTGTGTCCTCAGAGTTGGTGCCTCCGTGAGGAGCCCCGTCGGATGGCCCTGCCGGGTGCTGGGGGCTGTCACGCGTGGGACCCGCCCGATGCAGAGCTCCCAGGAGCTTGTCTCTGCGATTTGTCAGCGCATCGTTTCTGCTAAAGTTCACGGGGCTCCCCCAGGTTTGGAGCGTTTGTTATTACTCTGACTTGTCCCATCAAACCCACAGCCCCCCACGCTCCCCTCTTTGTTTACCTTCAGGGAATCACCGCAACCTGATGCCAGTAAAGCCCCAGGTGCTCGATGGCATCGCGTGAAGTTGCAAGTGTGCAACTGTTTTTGACCAAATAAGATGGCAAACCAGGTGGCTCCACCTCGTGGGCAGAGCTGAGAGCGGGTCACAGCACCCGATGCAGCCGGGGGCGCGGGGGTGGGGGGCGCGTTTCAGAAGGAGACAGCAAGGTCCGGGGAGGGAGGGGGGCGGGAGGGAGAGACGCGGCAGCGACTGCAGCAAGCCCCTGTCCCCGTCCCCCGCCGGCCGCCCCCCAGGCGACGTTCTGCGCCGTCACAGTCGATGGGAGGTCCCCAGCCGTTGGCGTGACACACTCGCTGGGCACACGCTTTGCGCCTGGACGCTCGCCCCCGCTGCATGCTGGCCGCCGGGGAAGGCCCGGCCGGGCCCCGCGGCCGGTACCGAGGTTGAGCAGCCACTGTGGTTTCTTTGCAGTGGAGTATGGAACAGCCACGGGGACACCTTAGGGGACATGTCTCTGTATGTCCACCCGCTGTCACCGGGGTAGGGCAGATCTAGCTGAAGAAGCGAGGACGTGGGGCGTGGGGTGGGCTGGGGACGAGGGCGCTCGGGGCCGGGGGGCCGAGGAGGGCGAAGGGCAGCATGTGGCAGGTCACAGAGGGGTGTCCACAAAACGCTCCCGGATTAAGCAGACCCCGAGGGGTGACAGCGGTCTTCACTGCTCCACGCCGCCCCGAGGCCTGAGGGGCTGGGCGCATGGGAGGAGGGGAAGCAGGCGTAGAAGACCCTCGTGTTTAATTCTCATGCGTTATAAACGCAGCGGACTCGCTTAAGGAAAACCCTGGGTGCGCTGGACCGAGCAGTGCAGAACGCCCGGGGGTGCAGGCGGCGTCCTAGCAACCAGAAACGGCTCTCGGCCAGCGCTGGACACCGGCGGGCTGGTGATGGCGGCTTGCGTGACGCTGCTGGGCCACGTCGGCTCTGAACTACCTGAGGAATATTGAGTCACGACGGGCACAGTGTGTTTCCCTGTATTCTGCCCCCCAGACATCGCTCTCTTGTGCGTGGTGGGCGTGCTGGCATTGGCTGGAACAGAACACCACGTTCCCTGCCCCGCCAGCAGGAATTTATTATCCTGGGAAAGATGTCAGATCCTGGAGAAGGTGCTTTGGGCTTCTCTCCCTGTCGCCGAGAGGCACATACGAGCTCCGTGGACTGAGTGTTGGGAAACACACACCACGCACAGGTTTTGGTTTGCTAGCAAAATCCCAACACTTGATTTTTTCCTCTTTCTCTTTAAATTTTTTTGTTGATCTACAGTAGAAGCATAGAATTTCGAGCTGGGAGCTGCGAGCTCAGAGATGTTTATTTTGCCCTCCACCCCTCCGTTCGTCAGTGAGGAAACTAAGGCACAGGAAACCTTACAATTTGTCCAAAGCCAGATGGTGTGTGTGCTTATTCCCCAAGGACAGCGTGGCTGGTCAAAGGCACGTGAGCCAGGATGCCTAGATTGTATTTTTATTTTATTTTTACTTTTTTTGCACTGAGGAGCAATGTGTCTTTAGTAAGTTCTTCAGTCCGGTTTCCATGGTGACAGTGTCGGGCTGTGATGCCCGCGGAAGGGTTGGGTTAATGTGTTGCCACATGTGCCTGGCGTCCTGGGCGTTCTGTACACGCGGCACTTTCTGACGCTACAGTTAGCACCCGAGCTGGGGACCGCAGTCCCGTTCCCAGCCGCGGGCAGGGCTCCTGGCCCGGCATGTCCCTCGAGGTGCGTGGCCGCGGGCTGGCTCAGGCGCGTCCAGCGCCTGCTTGCTTTGCTGGCATCTCACCGTCGCCGCGGGCCGGGTGGGATGGAGGCGCCTGCACCCACTCTGCCGGAGCCGGTCTCTGGTGGTGGGTGCTGATGTCACCTGGTCGTCGCAAGAGGCCGCTTGCGGGAGACACCCAGTGGCGGTTCTCGAATGGCAGCATTCATGGGGTTTTGCCAGGTTCCAGTAAACACACGTGTGCTGTGTTTACAGAGCCGTGTTTGATGTGACGGCGGCCCCGCCCTCGCCTGGCCCCCTCTGCCCCGCCCTCTGTGCCCACCGGGCTCAGCCTCCACGGCCGTGGCCTGGGCGATGCTGGCTGTGATCG